AAAAGTTGGTAGACAAACTTGGAAGAATATGCAAAAGAAAGAAACTGGAAGTAAACATATGAAAGAGCAAGGTAATAAGAGTAGCCAATAAATCTGAGTAATGAAATATTGGATATATGATCGGAAGGAGGGAGTATGAATGAGGAGAATGTGTACAGATATCTGGGAGTGGACTTGTTGGTGGACGGGTTTATGAAAAATGAGGTGAACCACAGAACTGACGAGAGGAAAAAAGTAGGTGGTAAACAGAGGCATCTGAGGAGACAGAGAACGTTATTCATGGAGGCAAAAAAGGGGAATGCAGTAAGGAGGGTGGAGGCAGTGGAGATGTCGTATTTGAGGGCAATGTGTGGTATATTATGCATGGAATTCTCAGTCTGAAGGTTACGAAGTGTAGGGTTAATAAACTGTCATGCGAGGGCTGAGGAGATATTATTGTGGTGCTCTGGACATTTAGAGAGGATGGAAGCAAAATATGATGGCTTTTCAGGGTGCAATACTCTGTAATGGCGAGAAGAACAGGGTAGGGGTCGTCCTAGGAATGACTAAAAGGGGAGGTAATAAAGGTTTTGTGTGCGAAGGGCTTAGAACAGCAAACGGGGCGTGTGCGAGCCATCAATTTATCTTCGATCCCTTAGATACTCATTGATCCATTTCGTACTAGTCATTGCCTTCCTGACGGATCTTTCAGTTTATCGTGTGTTTGTGAGTGTAGACGGGAGTGATAAGAGTGATACCAAAAAAATAAAACTAAGTGGTGCAATATCAGCCCATTTTATCAGTCAACCCCGCCATAAACAATGCAGGTTGTCTCGTGAGAGAAAAAACTGCATAACCTGGTGAGAGATAACAACCAAGAGAAATAATTCAATTCTTAATTCTATATATAAAAGCAAAACTCGTAAGATAAAAAAATATTCCATCCTGTACATTATTCTTATCATTCAAACCCAACAGCAAAAATAAAAAAACTTCTGCAGCAGTGCGAGGTGTTAACTCCTTCCTAAGGTATTCAATAACATTAATAAACAATCTTTTCAGGTGGGTAACATTAGAGTGTTGCCAGCAGATTTGGTTACAATCTGTGCCTCTCCTCTCCCTCACCCTTCCACCTCCTTCCTCGCCTCTTGTTGTCTCTTCTCTAATTTGATTTCACTTAGCAATCAAAAATTTAATTTCAATTTAAAAATTTTCGGCTAATAAATAAAATTTCCGGGCCCACCCTTTGGCCTAAGTTCCCCATAAAAGACACTTGTGCCGGCCCGGGGGAGCCCAGTGTTTTTTAAATTTGGGTTTTCTGAAGACTACGTTTTTTAAAGGCAATAAGCTGTGACGCCCTTGGCTAACCCCCCTTCTAGGAAGAAGAGGCATTTTCAGCCTTATGGCCTTTTTTATCTCTCTCGATAATGGTTTCCAAAGGATGGACGAAATGTAGTCAAAAGTTTTCTCAGAAAATTGTGGGTTAGTTGTGATGATATTATGTACAGATGTGACACAAACAAATAATAAATTAAGATACTTTTGCAACATTTGGGTATCTTTCTTCTGGTAACGTTTCGCCACATTGCTTCTTCAGTCCAATGGAGAAAAAAGGTGCAAAAAAAAAGCCAGTGTGTGGCGAAACGTTTCCAGAATAAAGATACCTAAATATTGCACAAGGTCTCATTTGTCTAACCTTTGGACGAAGATTACTTACACTAGTGGATGGTACCTCTGTGGTCCCGCCTCCTCCTGCTTCCAAACTCACCTGACTACAGTATATAAGCCACTTCCGGTATATGCTGTACTTTCTACAAGAATGATGGATAAATACATCGATTCCAGGCTGAGGGACTGATTACCTCAAACTCCTCCCTCCTGTTGAGGTCAGGTGGAGAATGCTGCATCTGATGATCTACCGGGTGGGGTTAAAGTCTTGGGTAGCTTGGAAAGGGGTATTGGACAAGTTGTGAGTAGACCTTCTGCAGTGTTCTATGTTCTTATGGGGGATAGCGATGAAGAAGTTCTTGGCGAGTGGTTCAGCTTTCGCAACATCAACAGCAGGAACAAGAAACTTTCCAGCCTTGATGTAACTTCCCTATTCACCAAAGTAACTAGTACACAAGCCATCGATCTCCTCCCCAGAAAAAATTGACGATTCACTTGATCTTCCTATTCCAGCCAGCGATTTCATCGATTCTCGTTGAAACTATGTGTCGGCTTTACGTGTTTCTCTTTCAAAAAATCACCTCTTTCAACAGACTTTGGGTCTACCCAGGGCTCGCCACTCAGTGCCGTCCTGGCTAACTTATACATGGAACATCTGGAAGCCGAGCGTTTCTCCACCATTATTCCTTCGACTGTCACCTGGCTCCGTTATGTGACGACATTCTCCTCATAACTCCCAGGCGCTTCAACGTTCAAGCTCCCAAGGGAAAAGCTAAACCCAGGTCGAGCCCTCAATCCAGTTCCACTTGAAGAAGAAGTCGACTCTTCTTCCTTTCCTTGAGGGTTTCTCTGGAAAACTGACCATAAAACTTCGTTTTAAAGTCTATTGAAAAACAAACCAAAACGATCTTCTCCATTTTCTACTCTCACCACGACACCAAAACTAAACATGGTGTAATTATAGGCTTCTTCCTGCGCGCACTCAGAATCTGCAGCAATGAGTTCCTTGAGGAAGAATGCTATAATTGAACAAGTTTTTTCTAAACCTCCATTTTTCCTCGTCACTTCATCGAGACTGCAGACGGTGGGCATTAAACATCTTCAACACACCCAGAAAAGACACTGCCGAGTAGAGATACATAGTCCTCCCCACCAACTCCATTGCCAAACATGTTTCCAACTTCTTTTCCAATACATCATTCCAGTATCTACCTCCACAACCACGACCATCAAGGACATTACCAGTATAGACAGGACAAGCCTCCACCCTTTCGCAGGGGTATACTTTTAATCCCTTGTAATGATTTCCCAACAAATTATACGTGGGCGAAACATCAAGAGACCCCCAAAATTTACGTATTTCAGAACACCAATACACAAGCAGGACTGACGATAAAGGAATGCCTGTGTACAACATCGAAATTTTCACACAACCATTTAATTAACTATAGAAACTAAAGACTTATCGCCACAGAAGACAACGTCAATGTGGGTAAGACACATATGCAACAGTTAGGTATCTTTATTTCAAAACGTTTCGCCTACACAGTGGGTTCTTCAGTCGAGTACAGAAAAGTTGATAGAAGCAGAGATACTTGAAGACGATGTAATTCAGTCCATCACCCTTGAAGTTTTGAGGTGGTCAGTCCCTCAAAAACTTTAAGGGTGATGGACTGATTACATCGTCTTCAAGTCTCTTCTGCTTCTATCAACTTTTCTGTATCGACTGAAGAAGCCTACTGTGTAGGCGAAACGTTTCGAAATAAAGATACCGAACTGTTGCATATGTGTCTTACCTAACAACCAGGAAGATCTGTGTGGGGACTTGAAAAAGCCCACTGTGTGGGCGAAACTTTTGTCAATAAAGGATCACATTAAATTGCATATGTGTTTAGGGTTTCCATTGTGTCGGTATTTTATCCCATTTATTTTCTAGGTTTTTTATTTCCAACATAAGGAGCACTGCTGCGGCCTTTACTGGCCCATGTTGGGCAGGTCCAAGTCGCCACCACTCTCAAGAATGAAGGAGCACTGCTGCAGGCCTACTGGCCCATGTTAGGGGGTCAAGTCGCACTCACTCAAGAAGGATTCATTGCTGCAGACGAAACTGGCCCATAAAAAAAACCATACACGGGCGGGATAGAACCCGCGGTCAGAGAGTCTCAAAATTTCCAGACCGTCGCGTTAGCCACTGGACCAGTAGCCAATAAGATTCGTCCAACTAGGTATATTCTACACCATGGGAAAAGGTTAGCATAGGCCCCACTGTGTCATAATCGTGTCATTACGATTTCGTGAGTCATGTTAACTGCTTTGGGGGACTTGAACTAGAGTTCTCACGGCCACGCTAGCGGGAGATTCGTCTTTAAAAAACTTGCATTTGTGGTCACAGTGGTGCCTATGCTAACCTTCCTGTGGTGTAGAAATATACCTAGTTGGACGAATCTTATTGTGGCTAGCTGGTCCAGTGGCTAACGCGACGGTCTGGAGTTTTGAGACTCTCTGATCGCGGGTTCAAATCCCACCCGTGGTATGGTTTGTTTGCAATCGTGTCATTACGATTTCGTGAGTCAAGCACTGGTCCATGTTAGGCAGGTCCAAGTCACATCCACTCAAGAAGAAGGAGCACTGCTGCAGGCCTACTGGCCCAAGCTAGTCAGATCCAACTCACACCGGGCACTATTTTTTTCCAGAACGGTGTGGTACATGCAAAATTGATGGAACTTACGAGGACAAGAATGCTTTCGGTTCCAAGTACTACGAGCGCTTGGCTGACATCAAGGCTCCCCTGTCCTCCATGAAGTTAAGAACATAAGGAGGAACACTACAGAATGCCTACTGGCCCATACTAAGCAGGTTCTTCTCAAATCCAAACCCAATAACAAAAATAGTAGACACATTATTGATAGAGGCACAAAACTTGAACTAAATTTTAATTATGGGGAAGTGTTAAACCCCAAGGGGTCATACACCGCCTGGGAGACATTCAGGTTCCATCCAAGAAAAGTGAAGACCAGTGAAGGCGCCTCCCTTTAGGAACAACATGCATGAGAGATAAAAGAATACAGTCTGATAAGATATCAATCCCAATTTAAAACCCATCAACGAGAATATTGAGCCTCTAATTAATCTAATTTTTCTAAAATATCAAACAGTTAAGAAAGAATTGCTGAGAATTATATAAAATATTGACAACTTTAAAGAATTTTGCACACAGAAATCATACACTAAAGCAAAGTAGTAAGTATATTGTTGGCATCACAATATACACCAGATATGGCTATCTTATCACCGGCACGTTCATTTATATACTCAGGTATATGAAGGCAGCTTCAGTTTACATGCATCTCGTCCTCAATCCTCACGTGGTTTTTGTAATATTTACAACGAGGTGGATCATATGTGATTATGTAAAGTGCGATGCTTGTAACTAACATCCTCCACCAAGACTAACTTAACAGTTGTTGATCAGACGGGAGAGGTGTGACTGATCCTGAGGAAACTCACCCACTGAAATGAGCTTAAAACTGACTCATGTTATCAAGAGGATGGAACATGGAGGATGTCTGGTGCTACTGACTATGCTATGCTCGTGTTTCCCGGCTCAAGCCGCCGTGGTAAACCCGAATGTTACAGCAGACACGTGTGTGCTGCTAGGGGATGAAGATTTAACCTCCCATTACGTGTACCTGCCTACCAACATCGTCGTTAAGCCCCTGTCTACACAGTGGCGGCTTGACTTAACATTCAACGAAGACAGACAGAAACCTCTAGTCTGTGTCAGACTTGTGCTCAAGGAAGAGAAGATACAACTGGGACTCTACACGGAAAAATGTGAAGACGAAAATATCAAAGACTTCAATCTGTGGAAATCACAATATGTGAGACCTCATGAGTGGACGATGATAAACATATCGGTGACTGGACACATAACATTAGCGGTGGATAAGGGTGACCCAATCAATCTTCTATCGCCTGTGCCTGTGTCTAAACATGGATTTGTATATGTATCTCAAAAACACTCAGTGGATATTGCTCTTGGGTGTCAAGTCAACTGTCCGGCTTGCAGAGCCTCGAAACCTTCTGGTAACAAGTTATCTACCATAGCTGAATTAAAAACAACCACTGAGAAATTTTTCTTAAAAGTTGGAAGAGAATTTACTCGACTAAACTTCGAAATAATGTGCGAAACACAACTTGGCCAGGAAGTATTTGTCGGAAACACAGACATAAATCCAACTGATATTGAAGAACTGACACCCTTGAAACAGTGGCACAAGATTTCCCTTGAATACTACGACACTGAAGATACATACATTATCGCCATTGACTACAGAAGAGCTAGAAAAGAATCTACTGGTCTCAAGGCCTGTAGCGTATTTAAGAAGTTCTTCGTCAGAGCTGCGGGAGAGACGCTATACAGCTACGACTGTGACCCCACTAGCGGGGAGATACATATAGAGTCCCCAGATGAGACTCACCCAAAAATGAACCAAGAGAGTAGTGTTGCTGGTGCTGTTGGTGTGGCCGTGGTTTGTACTATTGCACTAATAGGTGTAATATCTCTCTTATTATACTTAGCTGGTTACAGGATAAAACATGAAGCAATAAACCAAGTGTGTAGAAAGTGCACTTCTAGTAATGAAAACATAGTGTATAAAATATTTTATTATATATATATTTATAAATATATATATAATATATTTATATATATATTATATATATATTTATATATATATATGTCGTGCCGAATAGGCAGATACTTGCGATCTTGGCTTAAATAGCAACGCTCATCTTGCCATATAGGGGGCAAACGGAAAATTTGTGTATGCAATATTTCGCCAAAATCATTCTGAACCTAACGAAAAAAATATATTTCACAGTGTTTGTTTAGTATTAATTTTCTGTAAACAAATCTAAAATATATTTAGTTTTGGTTAGGCTAAAATTAAATTGCTCTTGTTATAATAAGGTTAGGTAAGTTTTCTAAGATTCTTTTGATGCGAAATTAAAAATTTTACATTAAAAATTTAAAGAAAAAATAATCTTTAAACGTATAAGAGAAAATTTTAGAAAGAACTTAATTTTTAAAAGAGTTCTTGCTAATTGACCAGTTTTACATATTCGGCACGACATATTATATATATATATTTTATATTATATAAATTTTATATATATATATTATATAAAATATATATATATTTATATATAATATATATATTTTAAAATAATATATGAGGGGAAGGTTCGTCAGTAAACAGGAAAAGAATTTCCTGACGCGGGTCTTAGTAGTGTAATGCTGAGGCACCGTTCGAGCTTTTGGTCATCTGACCGAGGCCTTCCGCTGGCTTATCCCTCCACCTCTTTAAAAATTTTGGTCATAGTTATAACCATTTAGTGGTACTTGTTGAAGCAGTGAACTCTTAAGTGAGAGTGTCTTGCTCTCTGTGCTGTGCTTTTATCTCTTATGTGGCTATCCAGCTCCAGGAACACTAGAGTGATTACCACACCTGCCTGGGTGTCTACCACACCTGCCTGGGTGATTACCACACCTGCCTGGATGTCTACTACACCTGCCTGGGTGACTACCACATCTGCCTGGGTGATTACCACACCTGCCTGGATGTCTACCACACCTGCCTGGGTGATTACCAAACCTACCTGGATGTCTACCACACCTGCCTGGGTGATTACCACACCTACCTGGATGTCTACCACACCTGCCTGGGTGATTACCACACCTGCCTGGATGTCTACTACACCTGCCTGGGTGATTACCACACCTGCCTGGATGTCTACCACACCTGCCTGGGTGATTACCACACCTGCCTGGATGTCTACTACATCCTGCCTGGGTGATTACCACACCTGCTTGGGTGATTACCACACCTGCCTGGGTGATTACCACACCTGCCTGGATGTCTACCACACCTGCCTGGGTGATTACCACACCTGCCTGGATGTCTACCACACCTGCCTGGGTGATTACCACACCTGCCTGGATGTCTACTACATCTGCCTGGGTGACTACCACACCTGCCTGGGTGATTACCACACCTACCTGGGTGATTACCACACCTGCCTGGATGTCTACTACACCTGCCTGGGTGACTACCACACCTGCCTGGGTGATTACCACACCTAATGGGTGATTTACCACACCTGCCTGGATGTCTACTACACCTGCCTAGGGGTGACTACCACACCTGCCTGGGTGATTACCACCCTACCTGGGTGATTACCAACCTGCCTGGGGTGTCTACCCCCACCTGCCTGGGTGATTACCAAAATGCCCGGATGTCTACCACACCTGCCTGGGTGATTACCACACCTACCTGGATGTCTACTACACCTGCCTGGGTGACTACCACACCTGCCTGGGTGATTACCACACCTACCTGGAGGTCTACCACACCTGCCTGGGTAATTACCACACCTGCCTGGATGTCTACCACACCTGCCTGAGTGATTACCACACCTGCCTGGATGTCTACTACACCTGCCTGGGTGATTACCACACCTGCCTGGATGTCTACTACACCTGCCTGGGTGATTAGCACACCTGCCTGGGTGATTACCACACCTGCCTGGATGTCTACTACACCTGCCTGGGGGACTACCACACCTGCCTGGGTGATTACCACACCTGCCTGGATGTCTACTACACCTGCCTGGGTGACTACCACACCTGCCTGGGTGATTACCACACCTACCTGGGTGATTACCACACCTGCCTGGATGTCTACCACACCTGCCTGGGTGATTACCACACCTGCCTGGATGTCTACCACACCTGCCTGGGTGATTACCACACCTACCTGGATGTCTACTACACCTGCCTGGGTGACTACCACACCTGCCTGGGTGATTACCACACCTACCTGGGTGATTACCACACCTGCCTGGATGTCTACCACACCTACCTGGGTAATTACCACACCTGCCTGGATGTCTACCACACCTGCCTGGGTGATTACCACACCTGCCTGGATGTCTACCACACCTGCCTGGGTGATTACCACACCTGCCTGGATGTCTACCACACCTGCCTGGGTGATTACCACACCTGCCTGGATGCCTACCACACCTGCCTGGGTGATTATACACCTACCTGGGTGATTACCACACCTACCTGGGTGATTACCACACCTGCCTGGATGTCTACCACACCTGTCTGGGTGATTACCACACCTACCTGGGTGATTACCCCCAAACCCGCCTGGGGGGTACCACACCTGCCTGGATGTCTACCACACCCGCCTGGGGACTCCCACCTGCCCGGTGATTACCACACCCGCAAACTACCCACCCGCGGGGTGATTACCCCCCTGCCCGGGTGATTTCCACAATGCCCGGGTAATTACCACCCTGCCCCGGGTGATTACCAACCTGCTGGGTGATTACCACACCCGCCTGGGTGATTACCACCCTGCCTGGGTAATTCCCACACCTGCCTGGGTGTTACCACCCTACCCGTGAATACCAACCCGATAACTTAAAACCCGCCTGGTGTCTCCACACCTGCCCGGGTGACCTACCAAACCTACTTGAGCGACACTGCACCGCTTGAGCGTTCCACCCTGCCCGGGTAACTACACACCTGCCCGGGTGACTACCACACCTGCCTGGATGACTACCACACCGCTTGAATGGCTACCACACCTGCTGGAATGACTACCACACCTGCTTGAATGACTACCACACCTGCCAGTAACTACCACACCTGCCTAATTAGCTACCACACCTGCCAGGGTAACTACTTTCAACTGCCAGATTAAGAATATAGTAATTCTGATATTCAATTATTATTTATGAAGATTTTTACTGAATTCTTTCGCAATTCCAAAATATTTTTCAAATATTAAAATAATGATTGTTGTCTGACTTTCAAACCCGTAACGCAAATATTTTTTTTTTCCAGATTTTTTCAAGACCATTATAACAGTTATGTCACGTACAAGTGTGAGTAATGACTCATAGAAGTTATTCATCTACCAGTGTTACTCATCTACCAATGATATTCATCTACCAGTGTTATTCATCTACCAGTGTTATTCATATACCAGTGTTATTCATCTACCAGTGTTATTCATCTACCAGTGTTATTCATATACCAGAGTTACTCATCTACCAGTGTTATTCATCTACCAGTGTTATTCATATTTTTTATTTTTTTTTTTTTTATTATCACACCGGCCGATTCCCACCAAGGCAGGGTGGCCCGAAAAAGAAAAACTTTCACCATCATTCACTCCATCACTGTCTTGCCAGAAGGGTGCTTTACACTACAGTTTTTAAACTGCAACATTAACACCCCTCCTTCAGAGGTGCAGGCACTGTACTTCCCATCTCCAGGACTCAAGTCCGGCCTGCCGGTTTCCCTGAATCCCTTCATAAATGTTACTTTGCTCACACTCCAACAGCACGTCAAGTATTAAAAACCATTTGTCTCCATTCACTCCTATCAAACACGCTCACGCATGCCTGCTGGAAGTCCAAGCCCCTCGCACACAAAACCTCCTTTACCCCCTCCCTCCAACCCTTCCTAGGCCGACCCCTACCCCGCCTTCCTTCCACTACAGACTGATACACTCTTGAAGTCATTCTGTTTCGCTCCATTCTCTCTACATGTCCGAACCACCTCAACAACCCTTCCTCAGCCTCTGGACAACAGTTTGGTAATCCCGCACCTCCTCCTAACTTCCAAACTACGAATTCTCTGCATTATATTCACACCACACATTGCCCTCAGACATGACATCTCCACTGCCTCCAGCCTTCTCCTCGCTGCAACATTCATCACCCACGCTTCACACCCATATAAGAGCGTTGGTAAAACTATACTCTCATACATTCCCCTCTTTGCCTCCAAGGACAAAGTTCTTTGTCTCCACAGACTCCTAAGTGCACCACTCACTCTTTTTCCCTCATCAATTCTATGATTCACCTCATCTTTCATAGACCCATCCGCTGACACGTCCACTCCCAAATATCTGAATACATTCACCTCCTCCATACTCTCTTCCCTCAATCTGATATTCAATCTTTCATTCACCTAATCTTTTTGTTATCCTCATAACCTTACTCTTTCCTGTATTCACCTTTAATTTTCTTCTTTTGCACACCACTACCAAATTCATCCACCAATCTCTGCAACTTCTCTTCAGAATCTCCCAAGAGCACGTGTCATCAGCAAGAGCAGCTGTGACAACTCCCACTTTGTGTGTGATTCTTTGTCTTTTAACTCCACGCCTCTTGCCAAGACCCTCGCATTTACTTCTCTTACAACCCCATTCTATAAATATATTAAACAACCACGGTGACATCACACATCCTTGTCTAAGGCCTACCTTTACTGGGAAAAAATTTCCTTCTTTCCTACATACTCTAACTTGAGCCTCACTATCCTCGTAAAAACTCTTCACTGCTTTCAGTAACCTACCTCCTACACCATACACTTGCAACATCTGCCACATTGCCCCCCTATCCACCCTGTCATATGCCTTTTCCAAATCCATAAATGCCACAAAGACCTCTTTAGCCTTATCTAAATACTGTTCACTTATATGTTTCACTGTAAACACCTGGTCCACACACCCCCTACCTTTCCTAAAGCCTCCTTGTTCATCTGCTATCCTATTCTCCGTCTTACTCTTAATTCTTTCAATTATAACTCTACCATACACTTTACCAGGTACACTCAACAGACTTATCCCCCTATAATTTTTGCACTCTCTTTTATCCCCTTTGCCTTTATACATATACCTTTATTCATATACCAGTGATATTCATCTACCAGTGTTATTCATATACCAGTGATATTCATCTACCAGTGTTATTCATCTACCAGTGTTATTAATCTACCAGTGTTATTCATCTACCAGTGTTATTAATCTACCAGTGTTATTAATCTACCAGTGTTATTCATCTACCAGTGTTATTCATATACCAGAGTTACTCATTTACCAGTGTTATTCATCTACCAGTGTTATTCATATACCAGTGATATTCATCTACCAGTGTTATTCATCTACCAGTGTTACTCATCTACCAGTGTTACTCATCTACCAGTGTTAGTCATCTACCAGTGATATTCATCTACCAGTGTTATTCATCTACCAGTGTTACTCATCTACCAGTGTTATTCATCTACCAGTGTTATTCATCTACCAATGTTATTCATCTACCAGTGTTATTCATCTACCAGTGTTATTCATCTACCAGAGTTATACATTTACCATTATTCATTTACCAGTTATTCATGAACCAGTTATTCATCTACGAGTGTTATTCATCTACTGTTACTCATGCACGAGTGTTATTCATCTACGAGTGTTATTCATCTACTGTTATTCATCTACCAGTTATTCATATACCAGTGTTATTCATCTACCAGTGTTATTCATCTACCAGTGTTATTCATCTACCAGTGTTATTCATCTACCAGAGTTATTCATCTACCAGTTATTCATCTACCAGTGTTATTTATCTACCAGTGTTATTCATCTACCAGTGTTATTCATCTACCAGAGTTATTCATCTACCAGTGTTATTCATCTACCAGTGTTATTCATCTACCAGTGTTATTCATCTACCAGAGTTATTCATCTACCAGTTATTCATCTACCAGTGTTAATTATCTACCAGTGTTATTCATCTACCAGTGTTATTCATCTACCAGAGTTATTCATCTACCAGATTTATTCATCTACCAGTGTTATTCATCTACAAGTGTTATTCATCTACCAGTGTTATTCAGCTACCATTGATATTCATCTACAAGTGTTATTCATCTACCAGTGTTATTCATCTACTGTTACTCATGCACGAGTGTTATTCATCTACGAGTGTTATTCATCTACTGTTATTCATCTACCAGTGTTATTCATATACCAGTGTTATTCATCTACCAGTGTTATTCATCTACCAGTGTTATTCATCTACCAGTGTTATTCATCTACCAATGTTATTCATCTACCAATGTTATTCATCTACCAGAGTTATTCATCTACCAGTGTTATTCATCTACCAATGTTATTCATCTACCAGAGTTATTCATCTACCAGTGTTATTCGTCTACCAGTGTTATTCATCTACCAGTGTTATTCATTTACCAGTGTTATTCATCTACCAGTGTTATTCATT